CCTACATAATACATAAACATAATTTTGGGATATTGTTAAAAGTATTTTACATAACTTTGACTGTTTGTTTTGTAAACAAAAATGAATTAGAATTTTAATTATATTTTATGATATTTAAAATTTTAATCAAATATTTTTTAAAACTATATCTTGAAAAGATTCTAAAAGATTTTTTAAAAGATTTTGTTAGAATTTTCTTTAAACTATTTATTTATATTTCAAATAAAAACTGAAGATATGAAAAGATATTATAATGATGTTATATAAAATTTTATAAAATTTCTAAGAATGATCCAAACTAAAAAATCACACATAAAGTGAGTTATGACTTCTCTTTTAATATAATAGATAGATATCTTCTTAGTAATTAAGTTCCAACAAATTAAAGCTCTTAATATTTTTAGTCCCACTTATTTCTGCAGTGAGGTGACTCACTTCCTCACAAATTCAGGTTTGGTATCAGTTTTTTTTTCTTGAACTATTTTTATCTTTATCTGAATAAAACAAAATCCGTTATCATCTAATCAAAGATTAGTTCAACTATTAAACATGCTTTGACTTTTGAGTCGTTGTGGTTTATCCAAATTAACACTTTTAGAATTAAGCTCAAACTCATGCAATAATTCAAATGATATATTTTATGTACAAAATAAGTGTAAGGTTGTACAACTTTCCTGTTAAAAATATACAGCCAATATCAAACATTGTTCTATGCAAAATACGTAAAGTTACCTAGTATTCCCTATGTTTCATTAATAATGTCATTTTAATTTTTTTTATTTTCTTTCAAAATAAGTGTCATTTTGCCCTTTTAATAAAAAGTTTCATATTAAATCTTTTCTTATTCTTTTAAATAACCAGTAGATTTTAGTTAAATAATTTCCATTTAAGCAATTTTATAATAAATATAAATAGTATATTTTATAAAAAATTTGATTTGTGTGAAATATGTTTAAATGAAAATCTTTATGAAACAGAGACAGTATAACATTTCTATGAACACATAAGTTTTTGAGTCACAGATATTAATTAACACATATTAGTTATAAATATATTTACACTATCAAAACCTTTTATAAACAGAATCCAATCAATTCCAATCTCACAGATCTAAAGATGTCACTAAAGAAAATAAATCTTTATATTTTATCTCATTTAATCTTTTCACCCTATCTAAACCTATTCAATAACTTAATTTTTCTTTTTTTTGTTTTCCATCTTTGTCCAGTATAATAGTAAACAAAAGTTATTTTAATCACATGTAAGAAGTTAAATAAGACACGTACTGAAATAAAATAATAAACAAAATTTCATATAACATTGGAAGGTAAAAGAATTTTGGTATCTTATTTACAGCATCTCCAAAGATACTCTATAATTTCAAATATGATTTTTTTCTCTCCAAAAATAAATTAGAAAACTTTAAATTTAAAGTTGTTAGTAATGAAACTTCAAATATAGAATTGCACTATTCAAAACTTTAAATTTGTAGCTTCATATTTTTATTTGTATTTTAATCCTTACAACTATACATCAAATTTATGATTTTTTAATATCTTGTTGCTTATCATTTTAATCCACAAAATTTATTATCTCATAAATATTTCAAAATTGTTTTTATAAATTTAAATTTTTCTTAAAAACATAAAGATATGATTTAAAATTAAGTTTTTATTTTAAAACTAGAACTAGACAACAATAATATTACAAGACTTAATGTGTTATATTGTTTGTAGTTTAATATTTAATTATATACTTTTATTTATGTTTTTATATTTTAGTGTAACGATTTATTAATTACTATTGTTGTAATATTTTTATATATGTGCTAGTTATTTATAAAAGTTTAAGAATTTGAATTAGTTATGAAAAATATAAAGACCATAGTATAAAATACAAATAGTTTTGAAGTTAAATTTAAAAATTTATTTTTGGAGAATAACACTTTTAAACTTAAAATATAGAAGTTTCCAAACTCTATAAGAATGAGTTTTTTGAGATCTTCTTAGGAAGTGGATCACTCTTAATTTTTTTATGTTTTGAAATTTGATCACCCTCAATTAAGAGTTAAGTATTTATATAGTTCTGCATATACTATATAAATGCATCGCTAATTCACTGCTTCGATTACTTACTTTATTCTTTAAGAAATCAAAATGATAAATTTAGATTTTCTTTATGTTATCTAGTTTTTTTTAATTTTCTTAAGAAGTAGATTTCTACTTAACATTATCCATATTATTTATTAAAAAAGGATATATTTCCATCACATTCGTAATATTATTTTTTATTTTTACCTTATTTACATTTATTCTTAATTTTAAAGAAAAAAGAAATTATATCCATAGGATTAATTAATTTACAATTATGGTTTAGACTTGAGAGGTGAAGTTAAATAAATAAATATTTGAAATTTTAAATATTAAAAAAAAAAATAGTTTCAGTTTTTTTTTAGAATTTCAAAATAAAACTTCGAAAAAAAAAATTCAAAAAAATGTTCTAATCTTTTTTTGAATTTGAAAATGTATGATTCGAAAACTATAAATTTTCAAGGAAGAGTGAAACTTTTTTTATTAAATGGTGAAAGACTATATGTATCTCCCTATTTATATATCTGTAAAAAAGAGTAAAATAATTTTTACCATTTAATTGAGAAAACCACCAAAATAATCTTCAACTTTCAAAAAAAAGTAAAAAAAATCTTGAACTTGATTTTGGGTAATTTAAATCACTAACTTTTTAAAATTGGTCAATTTAATCTTACATATATGTTGATTAGGTCATTTAACCTACTCAAAAATCAGCCGTTAATTATCATTAGTAAACCATAAACGTCTGTTAACTCTACGTTTAATCTAATACCAGACAAAACTTTAAAAAAAAAACTCAAGCCCTAATTATCAAACCCTACCTTCCTTCTCTTCCCTTGCAACGAGAAGGTTGAACAATAAGGATGAAAAAGAGATGTATTGCTAAAAAGATGATACAATAATCACATATAATAAAGAGCTAGAAGAAAACGTGATGCATCATAACTAGCTCCATATGAACTAATCAGATTTAAAGCATCCTCTTGGGTGTGATTAATGATGCAACATGTCTGGATGTTTGAAGGCTTCACATGTCACGTGATACTCCAAAATATCTTGCTTCAGATTGCAACACCACGGCGGCGGCGGAGGAGACTCAGAGTAAATATACGGACGTCACGGCTTTAGTTATGCTATGCATTAACGATACTTTGATAAGGAGCCATTCCATTAGAGCCGTCCTAACTACCTAGCGTGCACAAAACATAAGATCAGATCGTTTCACTCCAATGGAAGAGAAGAAACAAATGATCTCTGTTTTCCACATCAAAATTACGGAGGCAGCAGGTGGTTGAAATGTTTAGTCCCTAGCTTTTTTTTTTCTGAATGTAGACACTGTGTGAGGAAGAAGATGCCTTGTGATATTTGCTTGGAAGATGATTTACAAAGCTACGTGATGCTGAAGACAAGAGGGTCCTTTGTAGTGTGTTTGATTTATACTAATAATTATTCTGAATTTGTAACTTATGCTTTGGCTTTTTTTTTTTGTGAGAAAGCTTTGGCTCTATTTAAGAAGAGAAGAACCAATGATTCTTACGTTTAGCCTCTTAGAGCATGAACAACCCTTGATCCTTAATCAAGTTTCTTAATGATTATTTAATATTATAATTGTACTTTAGTGAGTTAAGGATTTTTGTTAAGAAACTTTCGTTTTTGAGCGG